GCCTGCCCCATATGCCAGACGTGGCAGGTTCAAACCCAGCCCTGGCCAAAAAGAAATGCTAATTGCAAATCCCAAGATTCTGCAAATCACTAAGTTGATCTCTTGACCAGTAGTAATACATCACAAAGTTGTACATACTTCATCATGGTGGAAGGGTTGAGTTTTTGAGTTTGGCGCACTCGAGTTCAGAGAGCAGCGAGGTTGGGAATGCATCCACCCCCTCTCCCTGCCTCCTGGAGCCTGGTTCCAGACATTTCAGCTGGCCTCCCCAAGACTCTGGCTCCCCCTCATTGTCAGGGCCCTGGGTGCTCAGGGACCTTTGTCAGTCTTCTGCACCCTGCACCCTGCCCCCTGCCCCAGTAGATGTTCTCTTTTTCAGTTAAATCTTCTGAGTGTGCCACTCAATTCCTTCTGGAACCCTAATGCCTCCTAATTTTCCCTTCTAAAAACTGGAGATGACAACACCTACCTCACAGGACTGCTACTAGTTATCTAAAATTTAGAGTACTCAAAGTGCTTAGTATAAGAATCCAAACCTACTCTTTCTTTATCCAGTGCAGTAAACAGATTGATCAAGAACACAGAGCTGCATCATTAACTTCAGTCCAGATTCAGTCTCAAGAGCCAGCTCCCAGTTTCTTTTCACTCAGCTTGGTGTTCTTCAAATTATAGAGTAAGCCGTGCAATGTCAGGGGACACCATCCCCCAAATGCTTTATCACCCAAAGAAGTCTTGGGGGAAAAGAAGAAAGGGAAGTCTCATTTTTTTTTTTTGCAGTTTTTGGCCAGGGCTGGGTTTGAACCCACCAACTCTGGCAAATGGGGCCGGTGCCCTACTCCTTTGAGCTGCAGGCGCCACCCAGAAATCTCAATCTTTGTGATGCTTCTTCAACCTGCCAAGAAATAAATGGCTGTTTCCCTTCCTCTTGATGCTTATTCACCCCCACAGCCCTCTCCTTGAGGAAACTGGAATAAAGAAGAGCACAACTGTAGCTTTGTAATTGTCCTTCATTGGAAATTAGCTTAACCAGTAATATCACAATAAAGATGAAGTGGTAATACCCACAATTATTTGTCAGTTAAAAATAATTTTCTAAAGAGATGATGGAGTATTGATGAAGTCTATTTCTTCTTCTTGTAGGCAAGGTCTCCAATAGCATAAAGTCAAGCTCAACCTCTGCAAATTGGTTAATTTGTTGCAAAAAAAAAAAAGGCTTGAAAGTATAAAAGGAAGGTAGATTCATTCGCACATAATTGCTGAGTGTGTATAATTCAGGCCAGTTCTATGCCTTACCAATCCAGCAGTGAAAAAAAGTCTCCACTCTCAGGGAATTTCTATCTTCATGAAGGAAGACAGACAATAAACATATGTGCCTACATTTAAATGCTTATTTATTTATTTATAGAGTCTCACTCTGTGTCCTGGGTAGAGTGCTGTGGTTTCATAGCTGACAGCAACCTCACAAAGAAGCAGAGCCTGGATTCAAACCCCACATCCATATGACCAAAAAGGCTATGCTTCCAATCTTAAGAATAGTTAGAGAGGAAAAAAAATACCCAGTGAAGATGAGAGTGGCAGTTGGTGTGATGCATCTACCAGCCAAAGAATGCCAAGAATTGGCAGCAACCACGAGAGGCTACCAGAGTGACAGGAGACAGATTCTCCATCAGAACCTCCAGAAGGAACAAACCCTGCATTCACCTGGATTTCAGACTTCCAAACCCCAGAGCTGTGAGAGAATACATTTCTGTTGTTTTAAGTCACCCATTCTGTGGTCCTCCATATAGCAGCCCTAGGAAACTAATACACCATGCTTCTGCTTGGGAGCAATAGTGGGACAGGAAGAAGTTCAGAAAAGATGAGGATGGTGATTATTACAAATACTTGTCCATCTCATGCCATTTATCCTCGTTACTGATTAATGCCCATGGCACACTGACTACTCAACAGCCAGAATTCTCTGGAACATCTGCAACCTTAGCTCTACTAGTCGTACACTTACTAAGAGTCAGTTATGTTTAGTCCCAACTGTTATTATTTTAATTTTGTACTCTGATTCAAAAAATAGGGGAAGATTTTATTAACAGTTGTATGTTAATCCATCCTAGGGAAGAAAACAACAGTGTTCATTAAAGGATAAACATCATTTTCTAGGTCCTGATGAGTTCTGATCTTCTGTAATTCTAACCTGACCATGAATGAGCTAAATCATTAAGTTACAGACACATGATATTCACTGTATGACAATACTGTACCCAGAGATGTCTTTCTTTTCTTTTTTGGAGGGGGGAGGGGGAGACAGGGTCTTTCTCTGTCACCCTGGGTAGAAAGCAGTGTTGCCATCGCAGCTCACTGCAATGTCCAACACCTGGGCTTAAGGGATCCGCCTGCCTCAGTCTTCCGAGTATCTGAAACTATACGTTTCAACTTCCATGCCTGGGCCGAGAGATTTGTCTATATTAACTCGCTTAAGAGAAAATATCCTTGAAATGGTGAAGTCAAGTTTCAAACTCCAAAAGTCTGGTTCAAGGAACCATTCTTTTAACAACTACAGGATACCGCGTCTTTCCCCTTGGCGTATATCCCTTGCTCTACTTTAAAATCTCTTGAATCTAAATAAATGTAGAAAGGCAGCAATTGCAAAGAATCAGGGCTCTGGGTTAGACAGACTAACACCTGGGTTTGAGAGGTTGCACCCAGACCTCTGTAAGCCACTTTTCTCCCATCCCTTATAGTCCTTATTTGTAATTATCTTTGATTTTCAAAGATCTTTTTGCTTTCTTTTCGTTACTTTCTTCTTATTTGGGGGTAGCTTCCCACACATTTGATGGGGGCCGAGTTGGCAGACTCACGTGTTTCCTGCTTCTCTCCCCTGGGGGCGGGGCAGGTGCCGGTGAGTCCACGCCCCGCGGCCCCAGGCCCGCCCCCTTGCGTGCGAACACACTTGTCCCCTCCGACTTGCCGTCCTGGCAGCCATGGCGGCCTCCGCTCTTGCAGCGTGCCTGGCTCTGCAGCCGGGGGCCAGAAGCCTGCGTGCATTCTCCATCGCCGCGTCCCCACAGGTTCCCGGACTTAACTCGCGTGAGTATCCGCGTCGTCGCCTCCGTGCTGTGGGGAAGGTGCGAGGGCAGAAGACGGGCCCCGCAAAGGCTGTGGCGGTGTCGGAGCCCGCGCAGTCCGGGGAGGCCGGTGTGTCCTCTGCCAGCTTCTTGCTAGCCGGCCAGTAGGAATCTGTGATGTTGGACTATTCTCTGCGCCCGCGTTGCCTTGCTCCCAGCCGTGGGCTTCTGCTCTGAGTCCTCTGGGCGCTTGCTTAGAAAGCTTGCACCTTCCCTCGCCCAGGACCTGCTTCTTCTCGGGCGCTCTCTCCAGCTGCTGGTACTTGGCGGTATTTATCCGACAGTGCTGAACCACGGATTTTCCCGAACATTTAAGAGAGGCATCTGGCTGTACCGGAACAAACTGCAGCTCTGAATTCCGCACCACCAAACGGGGTGACCTTCATGGAACAGAGATTATAGGGATGTTTGATAGCGTGCCTATCTTGGAGAAGTCTAGTGGAAAATACAGATTTATTAACGGGGAAGTACTGTGTAGAAGCGCTGTAATAGAAATGTGAATAGAGGGGCAGGGGAGCGTTGAGGAGGAGCCGGCAAGAGTCTGGAAAGGGTCTTGCCAAGGAGTGGGCACGTGCAGTCCATCAGCAGATCCTAACTGTGCTGCCTCCTGTAATATCTATCTGCAATGTACTCGTCATACTACCAGCAGCCCCTTGTAGGTCGCTATCTCTCATTTCCACAGTTGTTTTCTTTCTGAACTTTTATTTATTCATTCCCATTCTACAAATGCTTAACTCTCATATGCTGGGCAGTGTCCTAAACACTGGAGCTACACAGTATGGTCTTTAACTTCATGAAGTTTACATTCTTTTCTGGAAGTCAGAGTATAAACAAGTAACCTACTAAATAAAACGCCAGGTAGTGTTTAGTGCTATGAAGAAAAATAAAGGAGAGTATTGAGGATGATGGATTTGAGGATTAGAGGCTATGGGATAGGATAAGATAGGATAGTCAGGAAAAACCTCTCTGAGAAAGTGACATTTGAGTAGAGGCCACAGCCTTGCAGAGGAGTGGAAGTTCTCTTGTCATAGGGAACTGCAGGTGCAAAGGCCTAAAAGTGACAACAAGCTTAGGAGTGTGATCAAGAAGGCCAACATGGCTAGAGCTGAGCGAAGGAGCAAGCAGTAGTGTGAGATGTCAGAGTGTTGAGTGATGGCCTGATGGTAATAAGGCCTTATAAGCATTCTGTTTGGATTTTTGTCTTGGATTTTATACTGAGTTTGAGATCACCCTGGGAGACTTTGAACAGGGTATGAAAGTGATACAAGGTGATTTACACTTTTCTAAGATCACTAGCTGCTATGTAGAGGACTAAATTTCTCAGCATGAGAATGGAATCAGAACTGTGTGGAGGCTATTGCTTGCAGCAATCCAAATGAGATGATGGTGAATTGGATTGGGGTAATAGCAGAGAAGGTGGGGTGGTTGATTTGGGATATATTTTGAAGGTAGAGCCAATGGGACTTACTGATAGATTTGATGTGAGGCTTAAGGATGAGTCTCCAAAAAGCCGGGCTGTGGCTTTCTAATCTGTTCTAATCTTAAATTTCAGCCATATTGAATTTGTGTACTTTAATTTTCCATGTTCTCTGATTCTCTTGAAACTTTTTTCTCACCTACCTGTCTCCATGGCTCAGTAAGATAGGTGCTCATCCTTCAGGCTTTAATTTAATTTCCTGAGGAGCTTTTCCTCAACTATATTAGTCAGTGTTCTCTAGAGACAGAACCAATATGATATGTATAGATAGAGATGTAGATAGAGTTATAAATATATATGAGAGGGGATTTATTTCAAGAATCAGCTCACATGATTATAGAAGCTGAGAAGGCCCTTGATAGGTCGACTGAGAACTAGAGGCCCAGGGATGCCTTCAGAACCAGGGAAGCCAATGGTGTAAACAGAAGGCCTGAGAGCCTAGTGGGGGCCACGGAGTGGTGGCGGTTGTGCCAGGGCAAGTCCTAGAGTCCAAAGGCTGGAGAACCTGGAGTTCTGGCGTTCAAGAGCAATAGCAGAGTATCCCTACACCAGGAGAAAGAGAGAGTGAATTCTCCTTTATCTGCTTTTTTGTTCTGTCTGGTCCCCCAGCTGATTGGATGGTGCCCATCCATACTGGGAGCAGGTCTTCCTCACATGGCTCCTCCCCACTCTTCTGTCACCTCACACACCATTCTCTGGAAACACTGTCACAGACATACCAGGAAGTAGTGGTTTACCAGCTATGTAGGTATCCATTAATCCAGTCAAATTAACACCTAAAATTCACTATCACACCAACAAATTGACTAGGACACATAGTTCCCTGCTCTGTGTGTCCATAGTAGGTATCACTGTTTATTGGAATTTCTTGTTAAAAATTTGTCTAATTTGGAAGACTCTATATTCTGCGAAAGCAAGGACTGTGTCTGTCTTGTTCATTACTCTCTTTCTGGTTTCTGGTACTTAGTATCAGAGAGTTTTTGAAGGATAAATGAATGTTGCTGGGTAAATAGGAGTTTTTCAGATGAAGAAATGGGAGGGTCAGGAAAACAAAACGTTCAGAGAAAGATTAAGGGCCTGGTACAGAAGTTCAGTGTAGCAGGGGAGGCTTATAAAGGGGTGAGTTGTGTACTATGCTAATGTTGCCTTAATCTTGGTATTCTTGACTTTAAAGTAATCTTTAAGTCTAATAATAGTATTTATGTTTGTTATAATGAATACTATTACATGAGGTAATAATGAAAAGCATTTAGTATGGTATCTGCATGTGAAAGAGAAGGTTACATGTACGTATGTATGTATGCGTATATATATGTATATATATATTTTTTTTTGAGACAGAGTCTCACTTGGTCATCCCCAGTAGCGTGCTCACAGCAACCTCAAACTCTTGGGCTCAAGCAATCCTCTTGCTTCAGCCTCCCAATTAGCTGGGACGACGGGTGCCTGCCACAATGCCAGCTATTTTTTAGAGACAAGGTCTCAATCTTGCTCAGATTGGTCTTGAACTCCTGAGCTCAAGCAATCCACCCGCCTCAACCTCCCAGAGTGCTAGGATTATAGGC